GGATGCTAAGAATTGCAGACCCAGATTCAAGATACAGTGGATTTTACAGCATGCAGAAACAGAATAACCTACAGGCAGATAATTTCTATCAAACAGTTTGAAGAATTGCACCCTTACCAAGGATTTAAGAAAGAGAGAGAGAGAGAAAGAGACAGTCTGCTATTAAAATAAAACTAGAATTGTGCAGTTGCTTAGTGGATTGTATTGGATTTGTGACTACATGTACAGCTCTAAGACCTTTCTGGGATGAGCTCTGACTCCTGCAATGTGCCAGAAAAAGCATTCCCACTTTTCCTTGAGATAACTGACCAAGTGTTTTCTTAGAACCAAAGTTTTAAAACTTGTTAAGATGTATTTGCTTGTAACATAGCTATAAAGGTTTTTTGGGAGGGGGAATCAGGGGCTAGGGGTAGGCAATGAAGTAAAAGGAAGTACCAGAGAAGAAAAGCTGGTCACACTTGGCTGGAGATGAAAATATACTGCTGAGCAACAGGATAGTGGTTTTCCTTGTTGCTCTAAAATTGCATCTGTTGCAGCAAAAGCCTAACCCCAGGTGAAAAAAATACGAAAAGGTCTGATTATTTTTTTCCAGCTGTTGCTACAGTAATATACTCCTAGAACAGAATTTGTCACATCACAGGTGTGGTGTAGCTGCAAATATTTTTCTATATGATGAGAAAGCTGCAGTAGTTAATGAAATAGCAAGGAAAAGATTATAGCAGAAAATAAAGGGTGGGTTTATTAAGGATGTATAAAATTATACTTTGTGCTGCTTTTTGTTTTTATTTTTATTTTTGTTTTCTTCAAAGCTGATTGGCTAGATTAGCCAGACTTCAGCAGAGTTAGCAAATGACTGAGGCCTAAGTAATTCCTGATATGAGCACTGGATCTTTTGACAGCAGTATTGAAGGGAGGAAGGAAGGAAAGAAGGATGGAAGGAAAAGTCAAGAACACCATGCAGTTCCAGGGGCTTTTGTTTGTTTTGTCTGTTGTGGTTTTGTTTTGTTATTTTATATCAATCTCTGATTGTTCATACAGGAGAAGGAAAAATATTTTTGTTGGACAAAGCTCTTGCGTACAAGAGAGTAAAAAAGAGACTGTTTTAAGGTTGTTGTTTTTTTTCCTGTTGATGTTCTTATTTACTGGTATGCAGATTTAGAAACTACTTCCATGCTAGGAAGCTGCTTAATTTTAATTGTATATTACTCAAGCACCTTTTTTGAAGCTCAGAAAAAAAGGAGATCATGCTTCTTTAAACTTTAGCATTATAGGAATATTTATGTAAATATAATTATGCTAAAAACAACAAAAAGTATTTGTATGTTTGTGTATATATATGTATATACAAATGCATGTAGGTATACATATGTATATATACGTGCATGTGTATATACACTATACATATATATACTGTATATATAAAATACTATGTATACAGTATATATTTTTTCTATTTTTTTTTTCTTGTTGAATGTATTTTTATCTGAGAGAGATTTTACCCAGAGCAGAAACAGATAACAGGCATTCCATATCAATGCTTAATTGCTTGTGAGTTTAGGAAAGACAAGAAAAGAGCATCTCATTCTACCTACAGTTTGATTTGATTTGATTTGGTTTGATTTGATTTGAAAGTGTTTGTGTGTGTGTGTGCGTGTGTATGTGCACTCATGTGTTGGCGTGTGTTCAGTTCGTGCACGATTATAGCAGTAAGCGTTGCTCTTGCTACTTGCTACATTTCAGGGTGTTTCTTATTTTTCTTTTCCTGCTTAGCCTTAAAAAGGCTTTTTAATGAATGCATTGGCTAGAGACACTGATGACAATATACATGCAGCACTAATCAACTCCATAAAATAATACAATCAGCTCCTGGATTTTGGTTGGGTTTTTTTTCTGTTTTTTTTTTTCTTTGGGTTTTTTGGGGGGGTTTGTTTTTTTTTTTGCAAACAATTGTTTGAAACAACTACTGGAATATTGTCCGCATTAAGCTGGAAGTTTGTTGTAGCTTGCCTCATTTATAACTCTGACTGTATAATACAATGTTAACTTTCCAAACAGGTCTTGGCACTTTTATACTAATTACCCATTTGTGCATTGCCTTTTTTCTTTTACAAATGCTTGTCATAAGAGACACAGATACCCAGTATGCTAAATGTGAAAAGAAAATGTATTTTTTGTAAAGGAACTCTCAAGTATTGTTGTAAATACTTGGTCAGAGATTGCTGAACTTTAAAACTGAAAAAAAAAACCTAATTTATTATTATAATGACCTAATTTATTAATCTGAAGATTAACAATTTTTGTTGTTTTAGAATATCAAAAAGGTGTTCTAGGTGTTTGCATCAAAGAAAAAAATAGGTGTATCATTAAGGGTCAACATTTTTTCTGCTTATATAACTTCAGTTTCCAACCACCAATAAGAAAAAATGTAGTCTCCCCAGTGTTTTGTACTCAATCTGATAAAGAAACAGAGATGTTTCTGTCCAGTAACTACAGAGATTTTGTCAAGACAAAACATCCATTCCTTGCATAAGAGTAAGCAGTCTTTATCCAGAAATTGTAAATGCTTGCTTTTGTTTTACAATCAAGGCCATATTCTGAAAATACTAGCAGGATATAGGACATGGTGTAAAATGTTTTTATTATTATTATTTTATTATTATTATTTTAAAGATATGATTTATCCTATGTGCTGTATCCATTACACTCTTTTACTTTGGTTCCTGTTGTGCTCTTGTAAGAGAAATGCAGATATAATTTTCTGAAAAATAGATGCATATGTGGCACTCGGAGTGCACTGCGGTTCAGCAGATTGCTTGTTTACTTTTTTAACTGTAAGGCGGTTTCTTGTAATTTGGCTCTTGGCAGCACAATAAAAAATTTTAAACCTATGGATGTGTGTCGTCTTAAATGCTCATATTTATTACTTCTGGACATTGGTCCTTGAGACATTAGTTTTTAGTTTGATATTATGTATAGTTTGATATATTGGATAAGGTACTGTGGGTCAAGAAGAGTTTGCAGGTACAGAAAGTTCTGCATATTACACTGAAGGATTTTCACATGAGAGTGCTTTGTGGAATTCCAAATAGTTCCAGCGTTCAGTAAAGGTGAATCAAATGCAAAGGTTGGCCTTTGCCCTGCCATGGAGTTTATGTGGTCTAGTCATACGTGACAGAAAGCCATGATTAACCATACAAGATTCTAATGCAAGGTCTTACAAAAAGTGTATGGAATCGGAATTCACACCTCATGGACTTCCTGAACTGCAGATCAACTACTTATCTATTAGGCTGTAATGTTGTTTTTTTTTCTTCTAGTAATTTGTAAGTTAATTAACTTGATGTCCAAGTTGTGATATGTAAGATCCTGAGGCATGGTGTTTTTCAGCTTAACTACTTGCTCTGTAAAAAACTACCTCCTTTCTTTGAACCTACTCTCCTAATGGTTTCATATAATATATATTCATATAATATTCCTGACTCTGTATTCAACAGCAGTAGATCAGTATTTACATGTCACCCATTAATTTAGAGACTCTTATCTTGTTTCCATTTTTTCTTAAGAATCACAAGATACAATTCTTCTGGAGTAGTTCTATGCCTTATGGCCAACCTTGCCGTTCCTTGTACTTCCATGTACATCCTTGAAGACGAAGGGTAAGGGGACTGAAGAAGTCCACATTGTTCACATGTGGTATTCCCTGGATATCTAGCATGGTGTTTACTGTATGGATTGCTACTGATGGCTGAGTCAGTGTTCTTGCAGAGCTAGCTGCAATAATACAAAATGCCTAGTAGTTACTGCAAAGCCCATAATTGACTTTAACTAGGATAGATCTGTGTTTATGTGCATCCTTTTACATTTCCATATGCTGAATTTTTTCTCCCTTGTTAGTTACCTGTTCCAGCATTATTGCTCCTTCCCAAGACTAAGGCTATGGAATACTTATGTCTCTTTGAAAAGCATCTTCAAACTCTGTAAGCATTTTGGGTTTTCATCAGAATGAAACAGAAAACATCATTGTACCAATGTATAAAACAATTATACATCCACATTTTTACAGTCATAAGTAGTCCTGGCCTCCTCTGCCTTACAATGTCTGAAAGGATCATATTTGGAATGCCTATTTACACAGGGTTTGTCATCTTGTCATAATCCTGAGTAGGATAGGATGCAAATCCTTTCAACGACCTCAGTGGCACTGAGATGCTTAACTACGAATGCATTTTCCATTTGCAGTGTTGCCAAACATCAAGTAGGAAGTACAGAAAGAAAATTAAAGGAGGCTCAAACCAAATCAGGAAGATAAGCAGAGAAAATTCCTGGTACGTACTTTAGGATAATCAAAAGATCATGGCTGCTCAAAAAAAATACAAGATAAAAAAAGCCCATCCTAAGCTATTGCGCGTAAGGCCACAATACAAAGCTAGCAAAGGATGGGCACCGGAGTCACAGTGCTGGTAAGAAAAAGCATCTCCAAAGCTTAAATTCTTGCGTACTAGATGACTGAATGGAGGCATCAATGATACAAATACAAACAAGTTGCAACAAAACTACTGCAAATACTCCTATCGCGGCAGAGGCGCTGGAACTGGGTGATCTTTAAAGGTCCCTTCCAACCCAAAGCATTCTACGCCTCCCACTCTTGCCCGATGAGCCGCCCCTACTCGGTGCGGAGCTGTGAGTCGGTACCGACACCGCTGTGTGCGGCTCCGCGAGCACTGCCACAGCAGGGCTGGCCCGGTTCTGCGATTGCTGCCCCAGCCCGGTCTGGTTTTACGATCGCTGTCCCAGCCCGGCCCCGTTTTGTGATCGCTGCCCCAGCCCGGCCCCGTTCTACGATCGCTGCCCCAGCCCGGCCCGGTTCTGCGATCGTTGTCCCAGCCCGGCCCGGTTCTGCGATCGCTGTCCCAGCCCGTCCCGGTTCCGCGATCGCTGCCCCGGCCGGGCCCCGCCCGCCGTGCGCCGCCGGGAGCGCGCAGCGCCGGGAGCGCGCAGCGCCGCGTCCCCAGCTGCGGCGGCGGCTATGGCGGCGGCGGCGGCCTCGCAGCGAGACCCGGGCGATTGGCAGGACTTCTCGGGATTCCAGCCCTCCGCGGGGAGCGGCCCCGAGGCTGCCTGCGACAAGGGCGGCTGGGGCGGCGGGGATCTCGGGGCGAAGCTGTCCCTCTGCTTCGAGCCCCCGCAGGCCCGGGCTGGCGGCGGCGAGAGCCGCGTTCCGCTGCGGCCGCTCACGGAGCAGAGCGCGCTGCAGGACGACGAGTGAGTGCGGGCCGGGGGGCGCGGAGCGGGAGCGGAGGGGGGACCCGGCCCGGCCTGAGGGGACAGCGCGGCCCGCCGGCCCTGTCATGCCCTGCCCTGCGAGAGCGCTGCCCCTGGGCCTTGCCGAGCCCAGCGGGGCTTGTGGGCTGCGGGAGCGGAGCCTTTCCCCGCCCCCGGGGCTGCAGCTGGGAGCCGCCGGGCCTCGGCCGGGGGACACGTTCGGCCTCCGCGGCGCGGGTTTGACGTGGGGCCCTCCGGCTTTATCCCCCTGACTGCCGGGGAAGCGTGTGGGCATCCCAGAGCTTCTTATCCCGCCGAGCTAGCGAGAAGTACTTGTTCCTGAAGTGCAGTGACCGCGGTTAGTATTTGTTTAGCTTCTTGCAAAGTGCCTGCTGTGTCAGTGCTTGAAGTTAAACATGAAAAGTGCAGAAAGCAGCCGAAGAACAAATCGCAGCTGCAACTGCTATAATTGTTTGGGTTTTTTTCCCCTGAGGAACAGAGACTTTATGAGCCTTGCTGCTGTAGTTTTTAACATTATTTTACTAACATTTCTGTTTTTTATAGTAAATTTAATCAGCTTATCGTCATTAAAAATACTGTAGTCTTACTTTAAGGTAGCTAAAGTGTATGTCTTATTCTTAAGAATAACAAAAAGCCTGCTAGCAAAATACTAGATCTGTGGTGTAAACAGTGAGGTGAGTTCAGTGAACCATGAATCAGGCTGGGCAGTGATGAGGCTCTGTCTGCCCTTCTGCGTCTGCCTCGGCCTCTCCTCTGACCTCCTGTGAGCCTTAGCTAGGCAACCATTCCAAACATCCACCCACAGCAGAGCGCCTGGAGGCAGGGCTTGGTTGGGGACTTGAGGAAGCAGCGTGCTCACAGGGCTGCTGTAGCTGAAGACAGCTGCTTCACCAGCGTAGGGTTGCTCGTGCAAGTCTCAGGTCTGCATAGGCAAGCCTCCAGGACAGCCAGAGAGGATGGATGTACACTCTAGAAACAGTAAAGACTGACTCAAGACAAGAGTGGTGGGCTCTGCGAGAGGACTTCTGGAAAAAAAATAAATTCTTCCAAAATTTTAGTCTGATCTGTGCATTTTCATTTTTCTGTGATAAACAGAAAGGAAAAAAAAGAAAAGATTTAGCTCAGAATTTGCTACTTAGCCTCTGCTTAACAACATTAAGAATGTAATTTATAGCTCAGCTCAAATTACATTGAAGGAAAGGCTCATCCACTCCCAGAAAAGATTTTGAGTGTAGTTACATAATTAGTATAGAAGCCGGGTCTTCATTTACTGTTTTGTTTCATTGCTGTGCATACACCGTTGTTTTCAAGGGAAGTGAATTACGTTGATCAAAAAATATTTTCACACGGCTTTGAAACACTAAAAATAACTAAAATATACTAAAATAAATATAATAATAAATATAATAGTAATGCTAAAAGTAACTTGCAGATGAATATTTAGGGAGGAAAATACAGTTACTGATAGAGATACATGATCATTAGGAATATGGCTATTGCAGATTCAATTGCTGCTTGTTTTGAGGTCTGCATTTTTTTTCCTTTATTCTCTTCTTCAGGATTTGGAATGCCTTGACTGATAATTATGGTAACGTGATGCCAGTTGACTGGAAATCTTCCCACACCAGAGCTTTGCACTTGCCAACTCTGAATCTTTCAGAAAAAGGGGTAAGGTCTGATCAGCAAAAGTACCCACTTTGGTACTCAGCAGGGAAGTAAAACTGTTTGCATTTGTATAAAAGAATGTTGTTATTAAGTGGATGAAAATATTTCTAGTACTTGCCATTATACATGAGAGCTTTTTAAAAATCAAAGAACCATTGATGTATATTTGCATCTCCCTGGGTTGGAATAATTCAGGGTTGGTTTTAGATGACACTTCATTAGAGCCAGAGCATGATAGAAAAAAATTGTAAAATGAGGAAGTGTTTCATATAAAATCTTTCTGCTGTATAATTCATGTTGAACACTGGTCTGGGTAAGGGAGGAAAAGAGGCAGGAGTGCTCTGATGTAGTAAATCTAGTGAGGACTTTCTAAAGTTCATCTAATTCCACAGTCGGATGTCTTATTTGAACAAGAAAGGTGACCCAGGAGACATTGAAGTGCAAGAGTTTGTTTTGTTTTCCTTATTTAAGAGTTAGAATAGTTCTCTGGCGTGGGAACAGGGAATTAAGAGCTTCAGAGAGTTTATAGAAAGGTTTGTCCTCTGATGATCTTAAAAGTGGATTAAAACACTTAAGAAAAGCTAGGAGGAATTCCCATCTCACAGGTTTTCTGGGGAAACTAGTGGCTTGTCTTTTAAACATAGTGAAGTTCAGTTATGTTGTAAAAATATCAGTGTGTAACCTGAGAATTGGGTAATGCTTTGGTTTCTGCCATCCATTAGATAATCAACAGATGCTTTTTACTGTGACAGGAGCAAAGATTGTTCTGCTGAAGAGGATATTTTGGGGTTCAGTAGAGGAAAGTGCAAATTTGGAATTAATTTTCTTGATTTGACTCTCATGGTTATCCCTTGAATTTGACTTGTGTTTCTTCAAGTTTTTATTGAGTCCTTGTTCAGATTCTGTAAGTGGTTTCAGAGTAATTAAATTCTTACATGTTAACTAAAAGGACAACCCCTCCATGCTGTGACCTTATGTCAGGGGAAAATGGATTGGAAAACTAACAGATTTCCTGATAAGGAACTAAGTATAAGAAAATGTTTCATATAGTTTTTGTGAGTTACTTGCAGGAAGTTATGAAGAAAGTACATAAAAAAGTGTAAAGTGGTGTTGCTGGATTAGAAAGAATCTTAGATGTGCTGCCAGTAGAGAGAACACAAGTTCATGGATTAAATGTATCTCAAGTTTTTCCAGCTCTCACTCCACATGGCATGCCTTCTGATGTGTAAAGGCTGTGGGGAGCGTTTGACATACTTTTCTTTTGCTGCTTTGTGTTCAGCAGTGTTTTTGGATATGTGACAGCACATATGGGCCAGCTAGTATCTTGTTCTGTCTTCCTTACAATGAAAACTAACAGCTAAGCAACACTTCCTGATGCTTTTGAAGCTAATAATATGCTACCGAAATTGTGCAGAAAGCATTTCTTCTGTTTTAGCAGGGAAAGATGTAAGGTCAATAAGGCTGATTGGCCTGATCTTGGTTCCTTCACATGACAGGTCTATGCACACTTTTATACATCTCTGACAGTGAAAGAAGTAGATGGGAGGAAGTGTTGTGCACAGTGGTTCGAGGAATGGGATTGTGAAATTCCTTGGTTTTTTTGTTTTCCCTAGATTACTTTTAAATGGGTCATTCCCTGGTAGCAGGAGGACAGAAGGAGGCATGGAGTGTGACTGGGTGGAAAGCCACGTGTTCCTTTTAGTCCGGATTACAGCTGATGGCATTTTTGGTGGTTTATTAGTTTGTACTATCAAAATGTATTTGAAGATCTCTCAAAATATTTTTGGAGATGTCAGGAGGAAAAGTAGATCGTCTTCTAGATAAACTGTTATCCTTGCTTACTATCCCACCATTGTTGTCATATCCTATGTGCTTGAAAAAAATATTTGAGGACAGAAGAAATTTAAAAATTGTCAAATTGGACTGTATCTGTGTAGTAGGTGAAGAGAGAGTCATAGCGGAGCCTTGTCACTGCACAGTTACTGGAATTCAGATTGTGGAAAAGCGTCGATATTTGCCTTCATTCTGAGGGCTGAAGAAGGGCAAATTGTGTGTTTTCCCCTACAAATGATATCTGGGGATATCATTTGCAGGTTCAAAATTAATATGAGAACTATTAAGGTATCTGAAGATACTGAGAAAATTGGAGGAATTGCAAGAAAAAAATTGAAAACTGATACTGTGGGATCAAGGACTTTGTACAGCCAGTCATGATGCTTGTAAATTAGCCCAAAGATCAATTAAAGCAGTTGAGCTCAAATGGCAGATGTTGGGGGTTGCAGCTTTGAGGGGCTTTTCTAGGCTGGAATCTAGTAATAGGTAAAGTACAGAAACAATGTTGTAAATAAACCAGGATATATTGCTGTGTGAGAGTAAAATATGCCTGACTTATTAAGGAGGGGACTTATGTCTCTTAGTGTATATGTATCTTTGGTTTGAAAGTATAAATATCATTTGGTGGTGTATATATGAGAACAGCGTTGCTTTTCTTCCTGAAAAGACCCTGAGATATTTAACAACACATTTTTTTTCATAATCTGGTGTGATACCAGCATTCTGATATCACCATTCAATATCAGCTCTTCTCAGCTTTTTTCCACGTCTTTTATTATGTGACAAAGTGGAACTATAAAAGCGCTTAAAGTAAGAGGTTTGTGTAACATTAGACATTATAGGCAAGTTTTTCACCCCACACAGACATTTGTCAGTTTGCAGTGAAGATTTAAGTATCTACTTGACAGCTTCCCATGAAGAAATTTGTATGTCAGTGTGTATATGGTCTTTATATACAGATATTATTTAATGACATTAAAGATTGACAACTATTTTAACTTTGTCCAGTTGCAGTTTTGATTTCGTTTTCCAGGGTATTTGGCAGAAAGAACTATTGATTCTATTATTGTGGGCCAAGATTCAGTTTCATTGTTAAAATTCAATAATAATTCCCCTTTTGTTTTTTGTACATGTTAAATGTATTTTATACCCTAACATTAGGGGTGCATATATATAAATATACATATTGCATACATATACATATATATTATACAATACCTATATAATATATATGTATTATACATATTTTATATCTTTTTAATATATACTTATATAAAAACACCTTTTCATGCTTTTTAGGTAAATGACAACTTGAACCTTGACTTGTCAGATGATGAAGAGCTGAGAGAACAGTTGGATATGCATTCTATCATTGTTTCCTGCATCAATGAAGAGCCACTCTTCACAGCAGAGCAGGTGAAGTGTTCAGCAAAGACAGTGTTGTTGGTGTCGAATTTTTTTTAGTCTGTTACTAATTTTTGTTGTTGTTCTTGCTCTTCACTGTAGCTAAGATTCTTTGTTTAGGGTTTTAATAATGTGGGAGATATCATTATGTCATTCAGATTTGAAAAGTGTTTCAGTACTTCAGGTGAGGTTGATAATCCAGGGTCTTTGAAGTCTTTGTATATTTCTTACCATCAGTTACTCAGGAATGCTACTAAATTAAATATATGTGTTAAAAAGAAAAAATATTTTCAGAATCTTAGTGGTATGGTAGAGTTTGTAGTTTCCCAGCATGACTGTGTGGCAGTTCATAGTTTCACAGGGCTTTGCTGTTTCACAAGAATTCTTTGAAGTTTTTGCCTATCATGAGGGCAGACCAGTGTATCTGCTACTAAGTTTTCAAATTTCTTGGTATGTAAAGTCTTCAAATCCATGGATTTACTTCAATTATCTTGAAAATTGCTCTTCTGAGTAAGGTTAATGAGAGTAAGGCCTATTAAGATCCTGCTTTAGTAAGCAAACAAATAATCTATTTTGTTGTTGCTTAAATGGTTAAGCAATGGTTAAGCTGTGAACTGCAATGAACACGGTTATTAATAGTACAGGAGACAGGACTGCTTAAACTGCCTTGGCTCTTTTTTACTGTCAGTTGGATCTTAACACTGACGACAGCCTTTAAACTTACAAAAGTTGCTTTGTTGTTTATTCAGTTGTCTAGTTAATAATTTAGCCTGTAGAAATGTAATAATTTTTGTGATGTAAAGTAAGCTATCTATGCATAGAATTTCTGTTGTCATACTTTTTGTCTGGCTCAGGTCTTATGCTCAGGGATGCAAATCAGCTTCAGGTTATGGTGAATCAGTTCAAAAAACTTCTCAGAACACAGTTGACTTTCGGGCTGTTCGGGGACTTTTTGGTTTTTCAGAGTTTTTTGGGAGTTTTTCTTTGTTATTGTTTCTTTTCATTTTGTTGGTTTTTTGTTGGAGGAGGGAGGGATGTTTTTCATAGAGAAATGTGGTGAAATAAGGAGTGAGGGAGGTAATTGATTTTTGTTGTATCTTCCTTCAGCTGAATACTCAGGAAACATACTCCAGCTTACTCTGTAACTTGGTTGTCTTAAGCAGAATCATGGGTACCTTCATACAGAAATAACCCTCTAATTTCAACACATTGCTTGTGTTCACCAATTTACTGTTACAAGGTGTGATTATTCTCAGAGAGCAAGGATGGGGAGGAAATGTCAGTATGATTTTACTGAGTCTCTTCCATCCAGTCTTGGTGGTAGTTTCATCCAGCTTTGCTTCAAATTGCAAGCTCTCCATGTAGGAGGGTTTTCATAAGGGTTTTCATTTTTCAAAGGTAATTGAAGAAATAGAGGAAATGATGCAGGAATCACCTGATCCAGAAGATGATGAAACACCCACCCAGTCAGATCGGCTCTCTATACTTTCCCAGGAAATTCAGACCCTCAAGAGATCCAGCACAAACAACAGCTATGAAGAGAGTAAGTGGTATTTATTTAATATTTTTGCTCTTATGCTTATTGAAAATAGTTTAAAGGGTAAGTGTGCCATGTGTTTGATTCATAGCAGGTCCTTCTTGTGAAATATCAGAATTCAAAAATATTTTCAAAATGTCCTGAAATAATAGCCTAGATTTAGTACATAGAGGACTTACCTTTGTCAGCTTTCTTATGACTAAGAACAAAAATAAGACTTTATAGAATTTCAGTTTAAAGCAAATATTCTGAAGGTTGATACAGTGGAATGAGATTCCTTCATGGGTAAAGTGATAAATTGGTCATTTTTTATTAAAGCTCGTTATTTTCTGTAAAGTGAGACACTTTCTTGATGCCAGTACACTGTTTAAGATCAGCTAAAGCTCTCTAAAGCTATTCAGTAAATAAAGCTATACCATTTCTTTGGTACAGTTTCAGTCATTGCAACATATCTTGATAGACACTAACACAAAAATAAGGCAGCTGTATTTTTTTTACCCCATGAGGACCATGCATATTTTTCAGTCTTCCTTTTCCATTCCTCTTCAAAAACCTTAAAAGTTAAAAATATCCTTTGTATCTTCTACTCAGATGAAATCATCTGTGCTTCTCTATACAAAAGCAAAGGAGAAATTAGATGAATAATTTAATTGTAGTAAGTTGAATTATATTTTAAAAAACTGTGACTAATCAGTTTTGTGATGGAAAATTTTGCTTAATCTGTGCATTTGTCAACATGAATTCTAGAAGGTAGTAGGGACACAATATTTGATAGACGACCTTTCTACTTTGGCCTTTCTTAAAAAGTTTGATGCTTTCTTTCCTGTAGTCTGGGTCAACAGTGCAAACTGCAGAAGATTCAGAAAACTGGCTGACCTCTTGTGGCATGACTTAGAGTTTCTGCTACATTTCAGATTTATGGAAGAGATTCCAACCATGAAAATGGTCTGTTAACTGTCTCAACTCATAAATTTCAGGAATGTGAAAGCAAAATGTATTGTGTTCAGCAGGGCTTCCTAGTTTTCTGACAGTTCCATATGTCTTAAGGTTTGGAGCTAATCAAGCTTGCTCGGTATTTCATATCATATCTATTTTGCTTTGCCTCAGGAGCCCATCTTTTCTGTTGCATCTTTACAGTTTAAAGGTCAGTCTCGACCAAATAATGCCTTGAATTACTTTGGCAGATAGTTTAACTTTGCTTCACCAGTTTCTCAGAATCTACTTTCATGTCTTTCAGGTCACTGTTTTATTAAAAGCTCTTGCTACCTATTTTTAGTGTGTGAAGGTGCTTCAGCATTGGTCTGCATCTCTCTGAATTTTTTACAGGTTTTTCCTAGAAACTGTCTGGTTTTTGTATGATAGATCAGATATTTTCATTCATTTAGCATTCAGAGCAGGAAATTACTTGTGTTTACTTTTTTCTTTGATAGGAAAAGACATACATTAAGACAGTCCAAAAATAAAGCTCTGGTTACACAAGTGAGTTCTTCAGCCTACTAAGTTTCAGTCCATGTAGTCTTCTGCATTTGAATTCCTCTGTCTCCACTCAGCTGCATTAGCTGACTATTTCCTGTGTAGCCCTTTCAAGACTTTGATAATGACTACTGGTCTGTCATCAGTCAGGACTGCAGTTGGGTAACCTACACCTATGTTTTTAGAACAATTGGTTTTTAGGCTGTGAAGCTGGTTCTTAAGGGTTGGGACTCTCAGGTGCTCTCTCTCAGTGCTGTTACAGTGTTTGAACAGTTTAAGACCTTAGCTACCTTGAAAAACTGTGGCTCCTTGACACAGAATTGTCTAAAGAGGTTTCACTGCCTTCTCTTCAGTCAAGTAAGTGACAAGGAGCTTTCTCCAATCAATTTTCCCTGCTGTAATTTAAGAGAAAAAAATTCACATTTCACTTACTACCTTTGATGCTTCTAAGAGCTACACTTTTTTGTAGTTTGTGGCCTTGTTTGTATTTTTCAACACTTGTCTGTACCTGCTTTCCCTTACAAGAATTCTTGTAGACAGGATATTTACTAGACTAATTCAATGAAACTAAATAATTGCAAGCATCTATGCAGTGTCCTTAGACAGATTGTGCCTGTCAGTGTAATCAGGACTAGCTGTTTCTCAAGTGCCAAATAAGATTATGTTCTTTGACACAGCAACTGCTGGGACTTGCCAGCTTCCTAGGTGTGGCAGACCTAAACTGGAACAGAAAGCAATCCTCAAAGATCTGCTCACTTTTAACCCAAGCAAGCCTCAAAACATTTTCTTGGTCATAATTGCACTATCTGTAATGCATCAGCTGATAGTTCTGAAAATATGAAAGCTTTTCATTTGAACAGTGAGTGCAGAGGAAAGTAATATTTTACAGTTGTGTCAGAAGTTTAGCACTTACTCCAGTTTCCAGCATAAACTACCAGCACATTGTTCATATTTGCAGATTATCTCAGATTTCTCAGAAGTAGAGAAAAAAGTTTAACCATCTTTTTCTTCCTAATCTTGTCACCTCTGAGATGTGTTTATTCCTTTAGGAATGTTGTTTTGTTCTATGTCGTTCTAGAACTGAATTTTTTGTTTTGAGAAATTTCAGAGTATGTTTTTCTTGTAACTCCCACAAGTTTTTTCATGCTCTAAATCTTGACATATTACTTTTTATGTGACTATTTGTAGGAGTGAAAAGATTGTCTGTTGCTGAATTAAATGAACTGCTAGAAGAAATTGAGACTGCTATTAAGGATTATTCTGAGGAACTAGTGCAGCAGCTGGCTCTACGAGATGAGTTAGAGTTTGAGAAGGAAGTGAAAAACAGCTTCATTTCTGTCCTCATCGAAGTACAAAACAAACAGCGAGAACACAAAGAAACAGCAAAGAAGAAAAAGAAGCTGAAAAATGGTAGTCCTCAGAATGGCAAACAAGAAAGAAGTCATATGCCTGGAACAGTAAGAAATTTTTTATAAGTCTTTATGCATTTAAATTCGTTTTTTTCTGCTGTGGGAAGTAATAGTCCTATATTATATTAAGATACCTGGTACTCCTGCTTCCATGCCTTCTTTCACAAACGAGGTTTAAACTCTTGCTATTGAGAATTTTTTTTCACAGGGTCATAAATTTTACTCTTCTCATATTCAGAGAAAATTTTTTTTAACTGTTTGCAAATCTGCCTGGAGCTAGCCTACGTTTCTTGCAAAAAATACTGTCTTTGGATGTATTGCTCTGTGTTCTATTGTCAGTAGGCAGATTTATTTATGTGTTCGTTTTCACTGTGTGAATTTTAGTATGTGTTAGTCTTGCAGGAAATTCAGTACTATTGATGCTGTAGTTGCACACATATTTATTGATCATGCTGGTTTCTAGGAAAAACGTGAATGTCATACCCTGGATCTCCTAACTTGTGGCAGAGTTACTAATTCAACAAGAGACAGGAAGGAAGCCAAAGTGGGGTGCATGTGTACAGGGAGGAGATAATTTGTTTTATTCTTTGCAGAACATAGCAACAAAAGGAAAAACATCTTTCAAGTAGAGTTGGGTAAGAGGAGTCAAAGAACAAAAGAAATTAGGTTATTACCTTTTATTTCTCATCTGTCTAATTTAAAATTACTTAAGGGAGATATTAATGTTTGAATTTCTTAGTGCCTCTTATGGGATGCACAAAATGTGGTTTTGTGGATATTGGCTAAGTCCCAGAAAGAATGCTTCAGTTCAACATCAGAAGGTTTTGGGGCTTGCTTTTCAAATGTAAGGAATAGACATTTATAATGAAATGTTAATACTTAAGAATTTATATCTAAACTTAAAAGCATAAGATACCTGTGATATAACCCAAATAGGATTCTGATCTCATCTGTTAAATGAGAGATGTTTGTGTGTGTAGCTAAGTTTTAGTGGAACTTAAGAAAGTATATGTCTGAAAAAAACATAAAAAATTGTCATCCCTTTACAAGAGCACAGTGAATAGTTCCTTTTTCCTTCCCAGTCATGGAAAACCAAAAAGGGATATTCTACCTAGAAAGAAAAATAATTGTTTTGAAACTTGAGTCAAGTGATTCACAAACTCTGGTTAGTTTAAAGATTAGCAGCTTGAATGATGCTTTCAGGTATAACTTACATGGTCCCAGGATAAGACATTTTCATATTTGGTCACTTAAAGATACAGATGTATCAGGTTGCTTTCTAAGAGGGATTGAACAGACTAGCACACAGGTGAGACTGTAGCTGCATGTGCGTGATTCCTTTGAAAATAGATTTCACTGTCACCAAGATCAAGGACAGATTTGAGAGCCCTCTCCCAGAAAGAGGTACAAGGTTCACACAGATAATATGATCTAGTGGCTTTGTGAAGACTGAGTTTCTGTTAATAAATAATGTAGTAATTGGTTATTTTGTTAACTATAATAAAGTCTCAATTAATTGCAAAGATTGGAAGTGGAATTAAATTGTCCAACTCTTAAGAAAATTAATTCTCCTGTAGGTACTATAACTGAATATAAAAAATAGGTATTTTAATTTTTTTGTCCTTGATATCATCTTAGGGTAAATCAGTTTATTAGACTTCTAAACTTTTACCTCTTTCACGAGGGGAAACTGGGGAGCAGTTAAAAATAGTCAGGGCTTGAAGATACCAGTTCCTTCAAGTAGGATATCTTAAAAGAGTTAAGATGGCTTTGACAAAATCTATGTCTTTACTGACCTTGTGTGCTTTAGAAGGTAAAAGAATTCTGTATTCCAGCACATTTTATTCCCCTCACATAAATAAATACATTCAGATAAACATGCTGAGCTGTGCTCATCATACTGCCCTGTGTCAGCAGCTTGGCTGTTTCTTCTTTTTATGTTCATATCACTTGCTGATTTTATATCACATGCTAAACATCAAAAGTGTTTTGATTTTTTTTGCTTCTCCAGCAAGGAAAAAGGACTGCAAAGTTCAAGGAAAAATGTGAAGTTGGATTATATACTGCTTTTTCTTTACTTGGATTCCATGATTCCATGCAATGGAGCTTGAAATCAATATTGGGTGTATTATTATCTAATTATGGATATTTTATGATATTACAGAAAATAGGGAATAGTAATTTTTTCTTCAATTGTGGAAGAGGAAGCATGAAAGCATAGAAGTTTCAAAGACATGGAGCTGAAACTTACTACCTCTGAACAGTGTTTCTAGTATGTTCTTAAAATCTGAAAATTTGGTGTCGGTAGTGTCTCTAAACATACGTTGTTCAAACACAAATGTTAGAGGGGATTTTACTGTGAGCTGACCTTTGAAAAATGCTATTTTTTTATATTCCTAAATGAAACATCTGTAAAAGGCAAGTCTCGATTGTCGGATCTGCAGTGTGAAGATTTTGTTTGAATAAATTTTGGTGTAGAAATACTGCTTAACTGCCTTTATAAGGTTTGCTTTTTAATTAAAAACGTAAAGTAGGTGAGTGAAGAAACAGAAATGTGCTGAAATACACCTCGGGGCTTGTCTTTGCCATTTGTCTTTCATAGTCTTGATAAATGCTGATTAATAGTCTTCTGAACTTTTCTCTGTCCCTTTTTTTTTTCTTTCTGCTATGTTTTCACTACTTTTAGCGCTTCAGCATGGAAGGGATCTCAAATGTCATACAGAATGGCTTCCGCCACACGTTTGGAAACTCGAGTGGAGAGAAACAGGTGCTGGGCTATCTTCTCCCTATTTTCTCATTCTTTGCCTGCACTTTTGGTAGGAGCTGAGATCTTGAAAATTGACAGTAGCTGAAGAAAAATGCTGAGACAGGAAAAGCCACAAAAAAATGCTGTAATCTCTGCTCCTTCCCTACCTCAGGTTTCTGATCGCCTGCAGTCTCTTTCTCTCCTCAGCAGCTCAAGAGATTCAAGGCTTGATACCCTGATGCACTGAGCTAATAATCTGTATTTCTTACCCCAGACTAAATGTCTGCATAATGCATGCTTTAGATACGTTGCATGTCTGTAAAAATCTAATAACCAGTCAAGGAATGTGTTTCAGGTCAGATGTACTGTTTCAGCCTTCAGCATTAGCAACTTGTATAATGAAGAAAGGTTTTGTTTTCTTTTTTCTTCAAATATTCATAGCTGATACATCTAAAAACAGAGTAGCACCTGGAAAATGTAGAGACTGTATTGTCTTTTGCCTTTGAAAACTGCATGATCTTAAAAGTAGCCAAATATGTGCACTGCAGATTACCAATATAAAATACATGATCAATAGGCAAATTTGTGTCTTTTTGTTAGCTATTTAAACATTGAAATGTAGGGCAGAGACAGCTTCACTGGGCATCATATAGATGTGTGTACCTTGGAAGCAAGATTCTTATGCTTTATTTCAAAGTGTTAACTTGCCTGCTGTTTCAGGTCTGTAGTATGTATTATATTAATGGCATTCTGAATTTTAGTGAACTGCTAATGCTTTTGCTGTTGTTTAGTTTTTTGGTGCACTACAAAATATTGGTATTTCACATTATTTAATGTGCACTCACTATTTCAGTTTATGCAGTTTTGTCAGAGGAGTCCATTAGAGTTATTTTTTTTCCTGGTGAGAAGTCCGTTGAGGCAATAAATTGACTGGTAGTTTAGAAGTCAAGGCTGATTAGGCTTTTGTCTGGAAGATGAGTGTTGTATCCTGCAGAAGAGCTTGAGAGGTAAAACAGCTACTCTCAAGTCATTCTGCAATCATGAGGCTAGAAATCAGACTTGCTTACTTTCTCAGGCAAGGTATATGTATGAGATTTTATGAATACATTGATCCAGTTATTTGTCCTCAGCTTTGAGGATCTTGAACACCTGCACAGAGCTTGCCTTACAAGAGTTTTTGTCACTCTGCATTATCACAGTACTAGTAAAGCTGTACCTGTGTGCTGTTTTGTTTTTTGATTTATTTTCTTGGCTATCATTACCATAAATTACAGCTGTTTATACCTGTATCTTTAGGTATTTTAAATACCATATGTTTTCATAAAGTGAGCTTATTTAGACATGCCACCCCATCTTACTTTTGGTTAAAAGGCTTTCACTGCCTCCTGTGTAGACATAAGTAGCATGATCATATGTTAAAAATAACAGTGATTGAGTAACTCAGTCATTTTACATTTAAATAACATTTACTAATGTTACTCTTCATGTTGGTCATACTTTTGTCCTGATTTATCTTTTTTTATATCCTTATGGCTGTGGAGTTTTTTATTCCGCTTCCTGTATCTTAAAGAAAAACATGGAAGTGATATGAACTTAAAATGAAATATGAGATAGAAAGGTAGAAAAGACACCAGCTCTGTTATGATTTGTGCCTGGAAATCCATTTTTCTATGGCTTTTTTTTTCTGTCTGGGAGGGTTTCGTTTGATTAAGATTTTCTGTCTCATTACCAAACCCTGGCCCTGCTTTTGAGATACTGGTGTTATCTTCTTATTGCAACAAGTTGCAAAATTGATCAAGTATCAAATCTTCAGTTTCTTAATGCTGTTCTCACAATATACATTTGAGAATTTTTTCCAGGGTGTCATTATAAACTCAAGTGTTTTCTGCTAGCAGGGAAGAGTTAGTTAGAAATCTGTAATTGTGATAAAAAAAAATGCTAGGACAGTTTTTTGTGTACCTTGGAAACCAGAATTTCCGACATATAAGGTTACAACGTAAAAAAGTTTAACAAGTTTGTACAGTTCTTTCAGAACTCCTTTCCATGTCTTAATTTTAATGGTATTTACCACCTTCTACTACCAGCTCATAGTGGGTACATCCATTATTAAAAACTTAGTCCCCTTTTCTGTGCATGTGTTTGAGACATAAGTAAAAATTACTTACGAGATTTTCCCCATGTAAAGAGAAACTTAGAGTGGGAACTCCCTGTTCCTCTCTGATAATGTAGTAAAAAAAAAAGACATTGAAATGTTGGTAGTTCTTTCTGTGATCATATTTCCAGAAGAAAATTCAAGACCGTCATCTTCATTTTGATTTTCAGGCATATCAAACACTTTTCATACGTGGTGAAAAATTGCAGTGGGAATTGCTGTATTATCATGTCATCAAATCAGCTTCAAAAATGTGGAGGTCACAGCAGATTTAACACTTGGTCTTGTCAGTAAGCTACACTTCAGTCAGTCCTTCATTCATTTCTTAATATGTTATCCCTCACACAGCAGTTCAGGAAATGTTTTTTTAGTGGTATTGTAGAGACTGATTGTTGTGCTGCAGAGTTGAGGAGTAGAAGGAAAGTATTTCCGGAAACTAAGAAATTCCTTTTTTTGTTTTTAATTGGTACTGTTAGAGAAGAAAAATGAAAGGTGAAATTTACAGGAGAATGGGAACAGGGTTAGTTGATATTTGGTACAGTGAAATATCCTAGTATTTTATTGTTCAGGTAAAGGGCAGAATGCCACTTAGTTCTGAAGGCTGGGAAAGACAGCCAGAAATCCAGAAATCTGATTTCTGTGTTAATAGATCTCCTTTCATCTCTGCCATTGGCAGATTCAGCAGCCTTTTATCTAGCTATCGATTCTGGTAATTTTATTAAGAGTACAGTTCTCTTGGTGTTACTTGTTGGTTACATCTCCTGGAAAAAAAAAAAAATTGAAAATTGCTTGTTTCTTGAGAAGCTCTGCTGTGTGGAGTGGACATGAGAAAGTGCCAAAAGAAAAGGGAGGGAGAAAAGCACGCTGTGTTTGCAGAAGGTCTTGGAGAGGTGTCAGTACCACCTGGACAATTGGTGCAATTGGTTAAGTGCTGCTGAATTTGAGTCTCTTTGGCTTTTAGGCAGATGACGTGGTTGGGATTGAGGTGTACGATCCTACTGCAAACATGGCAGTGGTTGTAGGTGCACGTGGCAGCCCTCGGCCTCCTCCTGCAAAGTGCAGCTCTTCACCATGGGCTGAGTTACACTTGACTCTCCCTGAAGGGCTGTTACCACGGAGAGGAGGAGACCTTGTACCTTGTTTGTAATGTGTTTCCTGCTTGTTCCCTGGAGAGCTACGTAGGTGTCATGCTGAATGAGATATTGAGGGTTACTTCGCCTACTGCCTTGGAGCTGTAAAACCAGAATAAAGTTCTTTTTTAATTCTTAAAAATTGACTTGACGGAAATTTTAGGAATCTTTTCCATTGGGGAAAATTCCAGCTATTTTAGTACTTTTGAAATTCTGACCTCTAAGGAGAATATGCATTTATATAGACTGCAGAGTAAGATGTCACCTAAAATGCATATATCAAGAATTTGAAAACTAATCTTAGTTGCACTGCAGGTATGAAAATCTTGAAAGATTTAAGAAATTTTGTAGGGTTTTTTGTTGTTGTTTTTTTTTTAAAGCAGACAAGAATTAAAGATTTCAGTAAATAGAATTAAAAAGGAGTTGGTTTGAAACTATCTGTTAGCACACTCAACTGGTAATTTAAATCATATTCCATATTCTGTGTTATTATGTTTCATTAGGCTTGCCTTGTTCTTTTTGGTTGGAACTGTGTAGCAGCAGAAGGTGAAAGCCATCTGTTTCCATTTTCACCTAACTATGGGGCAGCATAATTTTCTTTGCAGAGAGGACAGTTAGCTGCATGACTTCTAGTGGCCACATAATTTGGTAGAAAAAAACAAACCACTTGATTTCTGTGGTAAAAGCTCTGAGATAGAAAGGTAGAATCTTAATATATTCTGAAATATGATTATTTGTGGCTAGCAATTTCAATTGCTACAATCTTTACAAAATGCAAACAACAAAATTGCGTGAAAGGACAGTCAAGTAACTCTGTTTTTCATTTGACAGTACTTAACAACCGTCATTCCTTATGAGAAGAAAAATGGACCCCCATCTGTTGAAGATCTTCAAACATTAACCAAAAGTGAGCATATGAAATTCCCCTGATCCTTCCCTCATTGTATTTCCAGTTGTGGCTGCTCAAAGCCAATGAATGCATCCAGTTCTCTCTTCCCCCTTACCCTAGGGCATGTAAAGATACATGATTTTAACTATAGATTTTAGCCAGCCTGTTTTCTGAACTTTCATGTCAGGTTTGTTTCCTAGCTGTTGTCTGAAACCCTGAAGGCCAGAAACCTGCATGTATCAGGAAGTAAATATTCCCATGTTTTGACATTGGCTGCATATCATACAATTTGGTCTTAGAGTGCCTGATATATCCCTGTTTGTTTACATTTGCTGTGCTTTATTGAGGTTATTGTAATGACTTTAACAAAAAGGAGTGGATGTCAAGATACTAACAATGATTGCACTTGATTGCCTTTAAAATAGTCTGCTTCTCTCCGTAGTTTTGGTGAGGGGAGGTTTGTTGTTAATAGATTTTGATAATTAGGAATTCAAACCAAACAGAGTTTTGACAATGCTTTGAATTCCCTATTCTTCAACACCTTTTTTAGGCCAGATCCTCAAAATTATTATAAGTTCTATGTCCTCTAGTTGTTTGATTTTATTGGGCTTTTTAAAATTCTAATTTGCAAGAAATCAAGGTTGCATTTTTAAAAAATTACTTTTTAAGGTGGTTTAATACAACAGAGCATCTCTAGGAGTCAATAGCATCTCCTTCATTGGATGTTTACAGGAACGGTTTAAAAATAGATGGTAGCGTGTGTCAAGGCTTTTGATCAGATCTCAGTAGAGAATCTCACTATGTCTTTAAGGTGATTTTCAGAAGAAGTTCTGTGATTCCACAGTTGGCTGAGTGATGGTAAAAGGCTCATTGGTTGTTTCCTGGAAATAGAAAATAAATATTATATAAATTCTAGAGTAAATGAAATGTTTAAGTAGGAATTAAAGTTCCCTTTATTTTTCTACAGTAGGCAGCCTTAGGTGTTAATTCATACTTCCTTTGTGACAAAAGATTTCTCATTTAATGTTTTTTCTTGCAATGAAATTTTATCCTCTTGCCATATTTAAATTTCACTTGACACTATTAAGCACGTTTTAAAGCCTCTTGAAAACGTTTTGTGTTGTTTGGTGGTTTATTAAAAAAATGGTTTGCACAAATGCACTGTAAAGAGTATGAACAGTATTGATTCCTGTGGGCTGGTTGGAACTTGATCCTGTGAGTCAGTTGCGGATTTGTGACTCATTGTCTCTGCTGCTAAGGCAGACAGTAAAGCAGGTGTTTAGGGTTGTTCAGTTGTTTTTTCTTTCAAAGCTCTGTATTGCTCTATAGTTATGAACACTAATGTCTTACTTCAGCGTAAAAATTGAAATAGAACACTTGTTATAAGTTGAGTTTAGAGTCTCATGAGGAATTTGGAGTTTATTAAATACTGCTTTTCAGTGGAATTTTGTATTTTTGCTTCTTTCAGTCATGTTCTGAGCACTTTATAAAGAATAGTCATTGCTTTTCTTTATGTAGTGACTCAAGCTTGTCCATGTGTTTTCCTTCTTCAGAAATAGGCAAGATGGACAAGATCTACTCATATATGTCACAAAATGGCATTTTTGCCTTATTGTAAGTTAATGACAAATTCAGTCATTTAGTTAAGAACCTACCACAGATAACATTCACCATTTCGGGGAGGGGAAAAAAGCACCACTAATATTTCCATAGAATCATTCACAGAATTTTTCAAGTAATGAACAAAGATATTAAGTAATGGAGTATACTTCCCTGTCCTGAGATTTCCAGCCCATCAGTAGTTGTTAGCATACTTTAGTTTTGGATGTCGTGACTATCTTTTGGTGAGAATTTTTTATAGGGAAGAGGTGCTTCTTGCTGTTGTTATGACTGATGGTACTTTACTGTAATATTAACCACGTGAATTGGGTCTCTTGCATCCACGAACTGTGGAGCTCAGTGAGAATTACACAGGTGAAAGGTGGAGAGGATGTGATGTCTCATTGTATCTTCTCATCTTTCAGTTAAGAGATTTCTTACATCCCGTAGTAGTATCTCCATGAGTCATTGGAACTGCTCCAAGGTGTTTAAGTGTTGTGTTTAATGTATGACTAAATATCTGATTTTTTTCTCATACTTTAGTTCTGCATGCCATGAAAGAGGATAGCGAGAAAGTGCCAAGCTTGTTAACAGACTATATTTTAAAGGGTGAGTATGCTTCTCAGCAGGGATTTTATTTGATTCTAAATTAACTTCATTTACATATAACATGTATTTGAAAATAGTGATCCTACAGCATTCATGAATTTTGTTGCCTTTCAGTCAAACACAGCTCTCACTTATGTTCTGTTTTGTCCAAGCATTTTGAGCATACAGTTCATAAATAAAACACGTTTATTTTGTTAGTGATAGTAAAATATTGCAAACTGCTGAATGACATCAGCAGGAACAAAGGAGTCTGGCCTATGAAGTGAAATGAGTATAGTTAAAATCTTCCATTGTACAGTTTTTTCAGTAATTGGAACTCGAACTGCCCATGGTAATTATGCACTTGCTATGCAAAGTGCTTACAGCTTCATTTCAAGTGTTACCTTTTGATCAATAATAAAAAGTATTTATTTTGCTTATTATACCTTCTTCAGCTATTGTTCTAAAAGTTTTTGTATGAGTTATTTATTTTTCCAGTCTTAGACATTGACTGTATTTAAAGAATATCAGACATTGAAAAATACTGTTTGCCGTACCTTTAAGGAGTTGTTTCAGGTAGTTTCCAAGTTGTTTAAATTATTTTAAAATGTTTTCATTTCTACCTAATCTTGCTGATGCTTATGTTCTTACTTAATTGTTGGCATATGATACAATTTTCTTAAGTGTTTAAAGTCCAGCAAATACTTGAAACTCCCAAGATCTGAACAAATACCTGTACAGAAGGATGATGGATGCCATTTTGTTTGCCACCGGAGTGTTTATAATAGCCTGCTCCTCATACGCTGCAAAAGTTTTTCTCTTCTTTTCGTATCATGTGTTCCAAGTTTCATCTTTTTTTCAAATATATTGTCTTTTGACTTAAGCCACTCCATGTGATTTTTAAAGGTTTTTATATTTCTTACACAAGTTTACAGTCACACTCACGTTTTCATATCATAGATACTTGAAAGTACTTTCAGGTTTAAGTTATGGATGACATATAGTGTGCTGTCCCTTCAGAAAATCTGAAAAAAGCCATTCAATATTCTGGAAGCCCCAACAGACTTCCTGTTGAAAGAGACACATTTCTAAGTTTTGTGTAGGGTTGAAGAACTGCCACATACAATAAGAATGCAGAGATCCCTTCAGTTGACTCCTTTGATTTTTCCATTGTTTACTTAATCTTTCTAAAAATTCTTCATTAATTAGACAGATGTGTTTGCATGTGAGCCACGTAGGATCATGGTCAGGGTTTGTTTTAGTGGTGATGGCACTAAACCATAGTTCTTTGATGTACTCGTGTCAGTAATTAAAACTGTTTGCTCTTCATAATACATCTGGTAGTGAGTGATTGGATTGAACAGTGCCCTTCACAGTGTCTGCTCTTATTTTTAGATGTAGCTTTCCACGAGAACTTTCAGATCACTGGGATATTGACAAGAAACTGGCAGCTTAGGAGTGGAGAAATCTTTTTTAAAAGCAAAGAAGGCTTATAAAGGTAGATTATCTGAACATATGATGATCTAGGAAGCTTGAGCTGAAGTTTCTTCCTGCCTCTTGTATGCTCATTACTTAAAAAATCACCAAGGATGTTCTACTAGCAAGACACAACAATTGCAAAAACATGCATTGAGTGTCTTGGATCAAACAGGTCATCCATCATATGCAAACACTGTTATCTTAAAATTGTGAAACACAAATTGTAGGAACATGAAGAGTAATCACTCACATTGCTCATAGTGAAAGAAAAAGGCAATTTTCCCCAGCTACCACTTCCTTAATGAACAGAACTAAGCCTTTCTTCACCCTGTTTGAGTTTGTGTGCTCAATGGCAGAAAGTTGTGAGCACAGAGCTAGTGAGCATAGAATTTTACTCTTCCTTTCAGTATAGCCCTAACTAAGCTCCATATGCTATGTTGGCATTATGTTAAATATTTAAAACTCAGCTAACAGTGTTACCTGGTGCTGTAGATTTATTCTGTGGCACAGGCAAAGTCTTCCAGTTGTTTCTGAAATTGTAACCTATTGCTCTTTTTCTGCAAAAAAAATTCTGGCCTGAAACTCCCACAAGGCTTTCATGGCACAAAATGCTCCCAGCCACCAGTCTATTGTCTGGACATTATTTTTATACCTTGTTAAGAGGAGATTGGTTGAATTCTTCACAACCACTTAGATCAATTTTCAGCTCAGCTTTAATACATGAAATTCTAACCCGTTTCTTAAATTCCAAAATAAAAGGAGTGACCTACTTTTTGAGGATTCTGCTCTCTTCACTGTAAAGATTAAAAAATGTCTTGGCAAGGTAAAAATCTTTAAGAAGATTTAGAGTTTAAATTTGTTTTCTGAAAGATGTTCTAAACCCAGTGGTATAATCCATATGGTATAGTGGTAATTGTATTCATTTTACACTGAATGGATTTTATTGCTTTTTCTTAAGCTCTGATCAAGAAATGAAATTTTGAAATGTGTGAATTATATCACCAAAGGTACTTGGTTCTGTTAAAATCTGTTAAGTACATGTTGCTTTGAGGATCTTGAGGATCTTTGAGGATCAGTCTTGCAACAAAAAAAGCACAGTAAATTACATATGAATTAGGATATATGTGGCTTTATTGGAAATCCACTTTGGCATCTGACTGCACAGAGGTAAAATGTAAAATCTTTTTTCAAACTTTATATTCTGTTTTACAGAGCAGAAAAAAAAGTCTTGCAAACATGCTTTTGATTATTTTTTAAAGCAGTACTGTCTTGCTGTTCTCTGGTATGTAAAAAATTAGGATACACAGTCTTATGTTATAGCTGTCCACAGAATTATTAATAGACATGCCCAGATATTAGTGGTCACTGTTGAAAAGTCTTGAAAAGTTACTAAAATTGTTGAGAAGCAAGAACTGAAGAAAAAATGTCAAGAAAAAGATTATTGCCAAAGTATTGTTAGCACAATATAAAGGAACAAATAGAAGAATGCTGTGAACATGGAAACGTGAATAGAACCATAACATAAGATTGAGCATAATTGTTGATGTAACATGAAATCTTACTACATGACTGTTGTTCTGAGGATAGTGAAATAATATATATAATAATACTATATATAATATATATTATAATATACACAATATATTATATTTTCTGTGAATTTCAATGTGTCTTGTAGGATTCACAAATTCTGTGTTATCTTGAATAACTTGAAATAAATTCCCAATAATTCTGAAGTTTGGATCATGTAGAAAGACACACACAGAACCCCTCTTACTATCTTCATTAATAATGATTAAGTTTTTTGGACAAGAGCTGGAACTTGAAGGACAGTTCTGCAGCCAGATCTGCTGTTGACCTTCTGTGTTACCATGGATCATTCTTGGTATTTTTTTCCATAACCAGCTAATCTTTCTGAAATGCTGGAAGTAGAAATCCTCAAAACATGGTGTGTGCAAATCCGGTGTAATAAAGAAATTAAAAAGAACAACTGGGTGCATTTCATGTTAGGGGATAAAATCACGTTTATATGCATTTCTCAGTAGGATTATTAGTTTTGAAATTATTTCTGGTGCTTGCTTTCTTTAAAGCATCTTCTTTCCCCAATTTCTACTGCCCCCTTGTGTCCCCCAAAATGTTAAAAAATATCATCATTTTCCTTGTCATGCTTAAGTCCCTCTTTCCAGGGGTCATTTAGCTTTCCCCTGGATCTTTTCTGTAAGGAATATCTCCTGAAAGGTATGTATCCCAAAGCCAGACTAAGTGCAAACCCTGTGAATAGTCTGGTACAGTGTAGCGGCTTATCTTCTCTTGTTCATGGTGTTCTTATTGGAGCCTAAATTATTTTCAAGGAGATATTTTTCCTTTTGTGACGTTCTGTTTGTTTTTTCTTTTCAGTGTACCTTTCAGTACATTTCTATCCTGAACTTAACAATAATGAAAGGGAATTAGCGATTTGCTTTACAAGTGAACTCTAGCGCTAGCCTATGATTCATATCATATTTTATAGATTTAGGCTTAAAATAGATGATAACATGAAATTGATCAGCATTTACAATTGTGCTTAATTTTTTCTGAATGTATTTTAATATATCAATATTGTTATTATATTTTATCACTAGGAGTCATGAAGGAGAAACTGGGATTTGAAAAAGGGTAGGGTAATGAATTTACTGACAGGGACAGAAATAACAAACCAAGACTGAAATCCTTTATCTTAGAAAGCACACTTCTGGACTGAAGCTGGCAGCTTAGTAAGGTCACAGTATTTAAATCTGTTTGTTCTCATCTTTCTATTGACCTTTTTTGATGGTTGAACTAATACAATGTGATTTGAAAACACAATGCTTATGTCCATTGGAAGGCCTAAATAAGTTTATTGTGCGCAAGTTAAGCTCTAAAGCAGATGGAGATATTTGTGTCATATATTGTAGCTGCATTGGGTTTAGGTGTTGCAACAGTAATAAAAACATTTTCCTTTGATGAAAGCATTTGTATGGACAGTGCTCATTGAAATTTTACTTTCTTTTTAAAGCTTTCAGTCATTCTTGTATGTATAATGTAATGACTTTCTGCATAATTATTAATTTGCAAGTACAGTAATGGAAGTAGTACTTTATATATATTATAAAAATTAATATTTCTATTATTAGTATTAAGTATATTATATATAGTGTAGTTGCATCTGTAATCTTTGCAGTTTGCAAGTTTAGGTTGCTTTCTGAAGAAAATGCCTCTGTGCAGTTGTTCATCTCTTCAATCTCACAAATAATAATTGCCAATTTCAACCCCACAAGACAGAAGCAGGTGTTGTGGGAGTAACAGAAATACTGTAGGGAGCAGCATCTAGGTAAGAGAAGGACTGAAACTGCTGTTTGCATTGAGCTGATGGCTGTTGCCTTGAAAAGCCAGCATCTCCTTGGGTCTGATGCATTCACCTTCTTAAATGCCTGTAGAGAGGCTCCTGTTTCTTTGGGGGCGTGAGAAAATTGGTAGGGCCTGCTGAGATGGAGTCCACAGCAGGTTTAAAGTAGAAGTTGAGGACAGCATTGTGGGCAAGGGAATTGTCTTGTTTTATTGTTATATGGGTAGTAGACGATAACTGACAAAATCTGGAAGCAAGAGTTCTTTAATTCAGCTACTTCCAGAAAGAATCAATGATATATATGAAATGTTAACCAGTGTATACACAGAATTAAGTGTTAGAGTAGGTTGTCTGCTATCACTTCTAGACACATTATTTCAAGATTACTGCCTTTGTACTTACAGTTTTTACAAAATGTGAAGATTTAGTTTTGTGTACAAGGATAATTTTTACATAACTATTATATAAAATATATAAGTATGTACTTAACAGCTGAAATGATTGCCTTTGAAATCAGATATGTTATTAAACTTTATAAGATGTATTTACTGCTAAGCTTTGTGTTCTTTTCCAATTTTCCTCAAACAGTAATTGTGACAAAGATAGAGGGCTAAAAATAATATGCTATACATTACTAGTTAGTAAAATGCATGAAGTGTCTAGTATTGTTTGCTTCTTTTTTCTGAATGTAGATGTCGTGAAAGCAGAATAATTGCCCATCTGTCTCCTTGCTATTTCATACCTGATCTTTCAAGTAAAAACTTATCATTTTTTATGTTTTAATGAAGCAAGAATTTGCACCTTGTTCTATTTTTAAATTATGCAAGTATTTCAGATGATAAGAAGATTTATTTTCTTGCCTTTGAACTTTTTTTTTATTGCTACACCTGACTTCTTTATTTGCTTTTGTGTTGTGCTAGCATTGGTTTGAAAGCTGGATTGCTCTGAGGTTTGTGTCTTACATTGAAACAGGAATGAGAAACACATGAAGGACATGTCTTATCTTGCCACTGTGTGATTCTAGTACACTCACCAGAATTAGAAAGTAGAGTTAGAATCTCAAATTGTCAGTGCATATTTTTAAAATATAACTGCATGCGTCACCTGTTACTTAATGTTCTGTTTTCTGATATAACACTTTTAAAAGCACTATTTAAGACATGACCTTTAGTTAACTCATTTCTGGATAATACTTGTTAAAGATAGTGGGTTGTGTCACTTCATTACCTTTTGAGAAAGGTTGAAAACTTAATTGCCAGTTTCAGTTGATTACTAGATTTTACTGTGTTACTAATAGGGTAGAATCCAACATTTAAATATTTTACTATATACATTACATTTTTATGCAGACTAATTTCACTGATATTTATCAATGCGTATTTGTGGTTTTTTTGCAGTTCTGTGTCCTACATGAAGAGGGCTGCCTTTCAGAATTAGCCATGCTCCTTTCTGTCATGAGAAGCTTTCCTTGGATATAACTCATAGTATTTTTTCATTTGGCACTATACCTAAAGCAGTATTCATTTACCTCCTCTGTGTGTGTGGATTTTCTGATCCTACAGTAAGTCATCTGGGCATGACAACTCATTCAGTTTAACTTAATAGTGCAATGAACTGGAGCAGGGAACAAACATTGTACAGTTTTACTTGCATTGTTCTGACTTTTTAAAGTCTATTTTTACATTGTATAGCATGTAGTAAATCCTCCTACACATTTTGTTGTTGGAAGGAAAGGTAAACTTTGAATAGTGTAAATAAAATAAGCCTCATTTTAAGGAATCCATATTTAAAAGAATCCTTAGTTTCTAAACAAAGATGAAAAAATGATCTTAGTCAGACCTGGAATTTAAGATTCAAGTGAGTTCTCCAGCACACTCCAGAAGGGTGATTGTGGAAGTCAGCAATCAACACTGCTTTGTAAATGGTAACTTTGAACTATACAACAGATTTGTTCATAGATTAACAAATCCAGATTTCTTGGTTTGACATAAGTAATTGTGTGTGTTCTTGGTATTAACACAAACATCTGACTAATGTAATATTTCATGTTTGGTTTTTTTTTTAATTAATAATGTTCATGTGGCTTAGATATTCTCCCATATTGCTGCTATAATTTTACTGGTTTTAAAAGGTATTTGATCTTAATGAAAATGCTTCAATATATAATCATTTTAAAAGGCAGTATCTTTTTAAAAATACATGTACAGTTTGAAAAACTTGCACCTGGCTTCCAAGTTAGTATTATATTGAGATGTTTGTTGTTGTGTGTCTCTGAATTTTACTACAAATATCTCTTGTGTGCACTGTCTCCTCTGTGATGATGTACCTACATTCAAACAGATGAGAATGTATTTTACAAATCCTGTAAAAGAAACATACCCCATAATCTCAATTTTAAATACTTGTCATTTTGCCAGTCTAAAAATGAGATTGAAATATAAGGAGTACTAATTTTAAAAAAAGAGAAAAGGCCACCAAAAACCCACACTTTTTTCTAGGTTGAATTCCTATTGATTCTTCATCCAGATGTATATAGTGAATATCTAAACGTGTTGGACTGTGAGGTTTTAAAGAGATAAACATGTTTTCTTCAGTTTTTTCCATCTAAAGTCTTCAGGGATTTTGTTAGTTAAAGAGAAATTTGATCCTGAATACCTAGCATCATCTTTAATGTTCAACTTTATTATCATCACCAAATACTGTTTTAGTCAGTAAAACAACATGGTTTGAAGATAGTTCTCATAATGTTTTGGGATTTTTTTTCTAAAGGCCTCAATATTTTTGTCTTTTGTGCCTTTTTCAGCTTAGAATTTTTTTTCTCTTCCCTCTCCCCCACTTGACCACCAATGGATACTTGCCAGCCTGCTCAGGAATAAATAGATCCTCTCCATAAGTGTGGCATATGTGAAGAAGTTTTTTTGTTGCTTTATTTTATTTCATTTGAGGTTTCTCTAAAAAGAAGGCAGCCATTTATTTCTTTAGCTGGTATGTTATAAATTCATTATGGCATGCTTTTTTTGTAGAAATTCTTGATGTTGGCTCTTGATGCCTGGAAATGGGCAAAGGGGATGACCCTTCTTTATTTTAAAAAAGGTGTACATGTGAAACCCACCATGTCGCTGTGTGAAATTATTTAGAGGTGCTTCAATCTCCTGATGAGGCTTGAAGTAACAAGATGGAACAAAATAAAACTATTAAAGAGAAGAGTAAAAAAAAAAGGCATCAACAAAAAAACTTCTGTCAAAGTTTGTTACTTGTAAAAAATCTTGGTTGACTTAAAGTCACAAACTACTAAAGGTAATGAAACTGGAAACAACTTCAGTGGGATAAGCATCTGCTTGGGAATTTCATGCCTCTCATCAGACTAAACAAGATTTCATTATAAAAAGTACCTGTTTACCTTGTATGCATTAAACAACAGCTGCCAAATATGGCAAGTATTATATGTATACCTATATATGTACATAAAAAAAAAATCTCAAAACATTTGAATAAAAAGAACTGTGCAAATCTGCTTTTCTGCTGAGTTCTATGTACTTTGTATTTTCTGCTATGCATTGTTTTTTTCCATATCTATTATTGAATCTTGCATTCTTTCAGGGAGATGGATTTTCTTCTTCTTTTTAGTTTTAGCTTGTGACAGTTGTAAATGGCTACAAAAAACAGCTGACAGATACCTTGGCAGAGATTTTGTGAAAATCTACTCCTTTTTTTATATGAAGAGTCCTAGAAGCGAAGTTGCCCTAATTGAATTTTAAGGTACTTAATTCATTTGTATCACTTGCTTAATTTGTTTGTTTTTATCTAACCCTTTTTCTGTGTTTCAGCTATTTTGCTTCAAGTTTATTGGCTTCATGAACAGAGTTAGAATTTTGAGTCAGGATCTGTTTGGACAGGATGTTAGAGGTAGTCAAGATTTTGTGATTTTGGTTAAGGGAAGAAATCTGAAAACAGCATCAGTTCCCTTCTGCTGATAGATAATGATGTAGCTGGACTCTCAGCTGGTGTAGGGAATTGGTGATAAAGAACATCTGCTGTTGACTGTGCCAGGTAATTGTGGCCTTTAACTTGGAGTGGTATGGTAGCTGTTCACTTTATTGTTGCTTCCAAAGCGGATTACCTTGGGATTCTTTATGTGTGCTTTTCACTCAGGAACCGTAGCCAGACCAGAAATGGCACCCTGCGTGCTTGGCAACAGTGTTGATAATCAACTGTGTATCTGCACAGCACCTTTCACAGCAGCTGCCTCCTCATTTCCAAAGGGACAGTTTATGGACTGGGTTTCAGCTGGTGAAGCTGTAGATAGTGCAGAGCCAGTGCAGCAGGAAGCCTGCTTCTCCAGCTCTGGCAGCCACAGAGAGTGGACAGCAGCAGCCTCACTCGCAAAGATTTCTAGTGAGTGCTCCTGGTTCTGATGGATCCAAACAAGTACCAACTCCTCGTTTATTCTGCAGTGCTTCTTTTGGGCAATGGTGGAATTAGTATTTGAGTCAGATACTGATTTTTAAAATTCATGAGCCTCCCAAGTTATGCTTGGCTATAAAGACACTCCAAAAACCACTGAGACTGTCATACAGAAAAATATGGAATCTCAGAACAAAATGGATCTTGAGTTGCATTGTGTGAATTTAGTGTTCTGCTTTTCTTGTGGGCCCAGCAGTGTTTATTTTAACTATAAACAGAAACACTCTATGATACAGGCAGTCTACCTGTTGTAATGCAAAGACAATGCAATTTATTTTCAAGCTGTCTACAATTTTGCAGGTGGAAGTGTGGTTGGAGTGTTTTATAGGGGCCATTTAATGATGGAGAAGTGCTAGTTACCTTCCTTAAAAAGTTTCCTACACCTGAGGATCCAGAAGGAATGTGTTGAAGTAGTTTGTCCTCATGAAATGAACTGGTGAAATTAAATGTCTTGTTCACTTGATAACATTCTTTTGACGAGGGCCTACCTCAGGAATTCTGGCTGTTTTGTTTGAATGTCTTGATCAGCAATGGCTGGCTGGATTAGCTGATCACTGTTCAGTCCTAACAATACTTCGTAAAAAAATGCTATTAACCAGGAGATGGTTTTGATGCTACATTTTTTCCTCCTGTTTTTTCCTTTATGGTGTCTAAAACTTGGATACCGGGGTCATCATCCTAGAGCACATTACGCACGATAGTGTCCACATGGTTCTGGAATGTCTCCAGTTAGGGAGACTCCACAGCCTCTCTGGACAATCTATTCCAGTGCTCAGTCACCAACACAGTAAAGAAGATCTTTCTCATGTTCAGGTGGGGTTTCCTGTTCATCAGTTTCTGCCATTGCCTCCTGTCCTGCTGCTTGGCACCACTGAGCAGAGCCTGGCTCCATCCTCCTGGCACCTCCCTGCAGATACTCACAGACATTGATGAGCTCCCCTCTCAGTGCCTCTTCTCAAGGCTGAGCAGCCCCAGCTCCCCCAGCCTTTCCTTTTCAAGAGAGATGCTCCAGTGCCTCAATCAATCATCTCTGTAAGCCTCCACTGGAGCCACTCCAGCAGCTCCATGTCTCTCTTGTCCTGAGGAGCCCAAAACTGGACTCAGCATTCCAGATGTGCCTCAGCAGGGCTGGGCAGAGGGGCAGGATCACCTCCCTTGACCTGCTGGCAATGCTCTTCCCAATGCACCCCAGGATTCCATTGGCCTTCTTGGCCACAAGGAGTCACTGCTGGCTTGTGGATGGCTTCTTATCCACTAGGACCCTCAGGTCCTTCTCCACAGAGCTGCTTTCCAGCAGGTCAGGTCCCCAGCCTGCAGAACCCTACACTTCCCTTGGCTGAATTTCAGCAGATTCCTCCCTGCTCAGTCTGTCCAGGTCCTTCCTAAGGGCTGCACAGCACTCTGGGGCATTGGCCACTCCTCACAGTTTTGTGTCATCAGTGAACTTGCTGAGGAGGCATCTGCCTTTTCATCCACGTCATTGATGAACAAGTTAAACAATATTGAGCCCACTACTGTCAATCTGCAAGTTCTCACAAACTCCCAGATTCCTGGGTCTCAAAGCCATGTTATAGAAAACTTTCTCCCACCAAATGTTAGAACTGGGAACAAGCTGTGAGAAATAGAATCTCAGAAAGTAAAAATTGGCTATTCATTCACTTTCATTTACGCCACACATCTCCCTAAACACTCCCCTAAGACTCAGTGTTAGGAATGGTGCTATTTGTATTGAGTTTGGATACAATCTTAGCAGAGGGCTCACCGAATTTGAGCTGGCTTTTCTAGTTGAGGACACCAGCGCAGTTGCTATCAGAAACAGGGATCTCCTTTTATTTTTGTCCATTCTGGAACTAGCAGTCTGAAATGGTTAGGGTTAAAACTGGGATAAGGTTAACGTCCTTTCTGAAGTTTGACCACTGAATGCTGCAGTACCTCTCCAAGAAAAAAGATGGCGTGAGCCCATTCCCACCTTATTATTAGTCCTTCGGAGAGTAATTTGTAGTAGCTGAAATGGCTCATGACTCTCTAAGATCTGAATATTGCAGGTTACAGACGACTTCCTTGTGCGGCATTTAAGAGTAATACTGTTTATTTCTTTCTAAAACGACACCGTGAGCGCACTGTTTTCTCTGAGGCAAGAGTCAGTCTGAAATGCATGTGCCTGCCACAGGATGGCAGCAATCCATCACCACTGAAGCATCGCTCAGTTCCAGTGTTGCATCTCAAGATGAAGCCCAAAGATGAGCTGCTCACACGCGTTCACCTTCGTGAAGGTGGTATGAAGGAAAGCCTTTGTGTACACTCACTCATTATTAATTTAAGCCGTGGTTCACAACGTTTGTTACAATGTGAGAATTTGCTTAGCTACAAAAGCTGGCCCTAGGGATGAGCTCTTAATACTTTCTCATATAGCAGTTGGTATGGGAGTTTGTTCTGTGGAGGGTTAAATACTGAGGGTAAGGTAAGTAATCTCTTTTTAATGCTCCCCTGTGAGTACGTATTTCCTACCAATATCTGGGGGGTTTTCACCTTTAGGCACGTGTTTCCTCTTCCTAAGGCCATCTGAACTATGCATCGCTACAGTGTGATGCCCATCTGCAATATACCTTCTGTTTCCATGGAATTCAGGGCCTGTTTGAAGAGATTCAATGACTGGAGCCAGTAATTACTATTTTCATGTGTATGTACAACTACTTACAGTGAGTTTGAAAAGCAGTAACTTAATTCATTGTTTCTTCTGAAACAATAAATTAGTTTTTCTATCTATGCATCTGTAAGTCACTTGTAGCGGTCCCTGGTTGGTTCTGTGGTCAGTGACTTGCCCCAGCACTGAGTGGTAGACGTAAGACTTTCTGAGAGCTGAGGGGGCTTTATAGCCATTACCATGTAAAGGATCTTGTGGAATTAAATTATTCTTTGAAGCCCTTACTTCGTGAAAGCTGAGCCTTTCTGTTAGAAATAGAGTGTTAAACATCAAAAAGTGTAGGGGCAAAATACGATTTGTAGCCAGCAAGCTCTCTGCCCCGGCAGACAGTAAATCATACTGCCTCCAGCCAGGAATACACATCTCCCTGTCCAGCACCACGGGTGTGCACCCCAGCACTAGAGTGCAGAGCCAGTCTCACCCCTAAGCCCAGTAATGACTACAAACATGAGCCCTGCTAATCCTAATGGTGCTTCTGCAGGTGTCTCAGCTGCTCACAGAACCAGAGCTACCCTATGCCTAGGGAGCACAAGAGACTAGAAACTCTCCAGCAGGGCATAAAGCCAGTAATGAGCCAGTCTGCATGGTGGCTGATGTGAAGGGGGGTGTCAGGAAGGCAAGTGACAGAGAGAAAGCCCTGGACTTCAGGGGAGCAGACCTGGGGTCCTTCAGCTAGCTTGAGATGGGGTGCTCAGCTTCACCATGGCAGAGGTAGCAAAGTAAACGTGTAAGATGAAGCAAATCTTAGCTTCACAATGAGCAACAAAAGGATACCATAAATGTCAACTGTCTTGCTAATAATATGACTCAGTACGGAGAGCCCAGTACCACAGAAGGCATGGGACTTTTCTCAAAGCTGTTAATAGCACTCTGGCAGGTAGACTTTCCTGGCTGCTTCGTCTGGTCCACATAGCAATGCATCAATTGCTGTTCCAGAGCAATCAAAAAAAAAAACCTTATTTTTGTCAATTATTTTCCTAGCACAGATGATGGAAAGCCTGAGAGTCTTTGCCCAGCTGTTTGATGCCATGTCCCTTTGGGGTCTGAGAAATCATTTTCAGGTATTTGAAGGAATATATCCTGAGACAGTGTAATACTGGGATGACACATTTTTATATCACTGGAGTCAATGATCTGAGGCTGTTCCAGGAATAGTACTGAGAGAAGAAAGACTTGTGCTCCTCTTTACTGCAGAACTCCTTTTCCAATGGTGTGGGAGACATACTCCTTCCAGTGTTGGCTGCGTGTAATGGGGGTAAATTTGGGCACATCCAAATCTAAATAATAGAAATCATACTCTTTGGTCATGGGTGTGAAGATGCTTAGAGTAAAAAAACAAAACATAT